GGTGCGCCTCTTTTGGGGTGCAGGTGGTAGCAGCTCATAGAGGGGACACCGGAAAACAGAGGGGGTTTTCTTGCACACCTTGTGCATGGTGGGGCTTGGCTCCGGCTGCTCGCAGCCACCCGTGTGGGACGGTGCACGCTCCCTCTCACCTCTTCCCTTCCCCTATGGAAGTGGGGACTTCCCATAGGGGAGTGGGGACATGGGGACTGTCCAGCTGGAGGCCGTGGCCCCGGCTGCGGGTGGCCGGTGCTGTCCCAGCCTGTCCCCGTTTGCAGCAGGGCCTGCAGAGGCTGGCAGGGGCGGGGGACGTGGTGCCTTGACGGCAGCTCGCTCTCACCCCATCCCCTCCGCCCCACCAAAGGCGATGCCCTAGAAAAGCCACCGCTTTCCTTTCATCTTCCTATCCCACCAGTCAAGGTTTGCTGTCTTTATCTCGTTCTCTCATCCTTCCCCCCCTCCCTGATGAGTCATAGCTGCAGCAGCGTGAAAAAGATTTCACTGGCACTTTGGTTTCCCACCTCGCCACCCCCTTCCCCTCCTCCTCCAGCCCTCGGCCCGCTGCAGCGGGCGCCTGACAGATCTGGGCGATGCATTGCATAATGCTCACCCCCCCCGCATGGTCCCCAAATGGTCCCCGCGTGGTCCCTGCAAGGTCCCCACACCCACAGAGCTGGCAAGCCCCTTCCCCTGCGCCCTCCAGGGTGGCACTTCCCAGCATCCCGATCCAGCCCGGAGCTGGGACCAAGGGCTTTGGGGGTGTTTAAGCACTGGTGGGTTTTGGGAGATGCCCTGGGCTGTGCCACCCTGAGGACGCAGTAACCCCGCTGTGCCCCCCAGCTCCTCCCAGCAGCTTTCACTTGGGATTGTGCAAAAAACGCCGTGGCGGAGCCTCGGCTGCCCCGGGTTCTTCAGGCCGCCGTGCTGTTGGTTTTTACCAGGGCATGGCTGCAGCATGTGCATGCCGAGCCGTGGGTTGGAAATTGCCTGTGGGGTTGCTGTCAATCGTGAGAGCCTCCCCCGCGGTGGTGCAGCAGCTGGGGGGAGCTTTCCCCGGCCGCCTCCGTACGGGTTGGATGTGCCTGACGTGGCGGGGCCATGCCGCAGCGGCGGAGGGGAAGGGGAGCCCTTGGGTGATGCTTGCGGTTCGCAGCTTCTTGCTTGGGAGCTGCGTGCATCCCAAGTTCTGAGCAAGGGATATAAACGCTCTCCTGCTGGCCCTGCGATGGCTTCAGGGCCGAGTGAGGCATCGCCTGCCCCGGCACCTCCGCCTGCAGCGTGGCCGTGCTGGCGGGAGATGGCTCTGGGCAGAGGGCTTTTGATTTTGTAGGAGGTTTAAAAGACTCTCCCGGGTGCTCCTGGCCGGTCAGTGGGTGCCTGTCCCCTCCCAAGCCCTGGGCAGTGTTCAACAGGAGCCTGCTTGTGGCTTTGCTCC